CCCCCCCCCCCAATCCACATACCGCCACATGCTTTCCCAGCATTTCCCCCTCCTCTTCCTCCCCTCCTCCCACTCCCACTCCCTCCTCCTCTCCTTCCCCCCCTCACCCCCATTCCTCCCAATACCTTGCCCCCCTCGTCTCTCCCCCCCCATACACACACTTACCGTTATCCGACCCCGCCTTCCACAGCCGCACTGTTTGATCATTGGAGCACGTGATCAGCAGGTCCCCGATCAACGCCAAGTCGTTAACCCAGTCGGCATGCCCGTCGAAGCTGGCCTCCAACACTGGCTCTGGACCCGCCACGTCCCATCTGCAGGAAGACAGACAGACAAACAGATAGTGAGGGGTATCAGACGCGTTACGTACAGAGTACAGACACCGGTCTGGGCATGCAGTACACCTGTACTGCAGTCTCCATCTAGACGCAAAAAAACGCACTATTTGACGGGTGCTTTAGCGCCACCGGGAGCGAGAATTTCTGTGTGTTGTTTTAGACCCCCTCCCCGTGTGTATGTATGTATGTATGTACGTCAAATGGACCCCGGTCAGGCAGGTGGCAGCTGTGTACATACAGATATACGTACGCACATACATAAACGGCTCTGTACGATAAACCAGGGCTGACAGGCAGCCAGCGAAGTTGAGAGTCAGACCGGACCCGGCCTACAACAGACAAACAGACATCGCGACAGAATGAGGATAGATGCCGCAGCAGCAGCGGCCGCAGCAGCAGTGCGGATAGCTGCGAATGCACCGGCAGGGCCTCCCCCCCCGGGGGTGGCGGCTCAGAGACCGGGTGGAGGTGTGTGCCTGGCCAGGCAACCGTGCCTAAGAAGCAAGGTGAGGTCCACCGCCCAAGGCCCCCAAAGGGAACCCCGATGTCGCTCCGTTGATGCCCACCCACCATCCGGCTCCATTACACCCAAATGTGCCGAACTTGGTTTTACTAGGACTAAATGTTGCATGTTGTGTTCTGGGAGTCTAATGCCGTGTCCTGGGGTAATGCGGCGGTACGTTGCGGTGCAGATACGGGCAGTGGTTCGTGGGTTTGCGTCGTCTTGGCGGTGACTGGGGAGTAAAGCAGCAGCTGGGCCCTACATGCCGGGCTGGATTTTGAGCTTTGTACGTGTACGTCCTCATTTCCCGAGGGCGGAGGAGGATGTGGGTTGCGGAAGGTGTAGGCAGGCGGAGGCCGGTGTATATGTGCAGCGCCAGGCCAGAGTGCATAAGTCGTGGAGATATTACTCGGCGCAGTGGTGAGGTGACGTGGAGGGTGCGGTGACAGGGAGGCGCGGCGGGCACTTGCCTTTTCACTGTGGAGTCCCGCGAGGCTGTGAATAGGAGTTTGTGGTTCGGAACCGAGGGAAAGAGCAGTGATTCCACGCCCGCGCAGTGCTGTAAGGAGTGGCAGTCCAGTTTCAGTACTCAGAGAGAAGGCTCGTAAGTGGCTTAGCCCCAAATATAGGAGCTTGAGCACCCAAGCACTACCTTGTCATCGTTGGGGTGCCGAAAGACTACAGAAACCTTGCGCTCCTTCCTTGTCCGCGGAGCGACTCCGTTCGTATACATCCCGCGACTTCAGTATCCTAGTTGCCCAGACCTTCGGCTGCTAGAGTCAAACATCATCGTCTAAAGTAGGAGATGTTACATCCCACTTCAAACAGCTTCACAGCTTAACATCCATGTAGATCAAGAACTATCAAATAGAAAGTAACTCACAATGCAAAGCGATGCTGTCGCTGAAAAAACAAGCCGTACAGACGTAGTTGACAGCGAAGCTGGAATGGAGAAGCCTCACAGCCGTACATAATACCATAACCGTGTATGAGATGTTCATATTTAAGCCAGTACTTACGCCCACATATTCAACAGCCAGCAAAAAGGTAATGACCCAGGGGCCTTCCATCAAGGGGCTTCCAAACGCTCACACAGACACGCGCGCGACACCATATCGACACATATCGTTAGAACTTTATAAAACAACCCTGAGACGCTCGACGGGAAATGGTGAGCATTGTTGGTGCTCTACCGCAAGCGCGCAAGTGACTCTGCCTGCTTCTCGACGTCTGTCTTCCTTGCTTGTTACGGCACGATGCTGGTGCAGTCTGGTTGACATGAAATCGGCACAATTCGAAGAAGTTCGACAGCCAAAAAGACAACGACGCTTAACAGGCTAGCTGCCACCTGCGACCCGCTCCAAATCGGTGTCCAGTATTTTGGCATTCTGCAGCACCCAGCCTGCAGCTCCGTTCGTTGGTGCATACGTACGGCACGGTACGACACAAACGCAAAGGACGCAATGCGCCAAGAGGCGTAATACGTCCGATAGGGCTTCTTGACGGAGAGGGATTTAGGGTTTGAGGAGGAATCACACAGACCGGTTGTTCCCCAACTTCCAGCCTTAGCATCGTATCTCACCTCTAAACTTCCCATCTCTGCTCTATCGTCCTGCTGGCTAATTCCTGATTTGGGGGCTCAAAATCCCACGCGCGGGGCTGCCCCTTGTGGCCGATGGCAAAAAAAATCTTTGGTCAACGGCTGCCGCTTCCTCATCGCTGCCCTTATAGGCCCGGGGGGTCCAGGAGAAAACCGTTGACCCGAAACAAGACCAGGGATGGAATGAATTCTACCGGAAGCAGTTCCCTCCAGGAAGGGGCTCTCGCAGGATATTGCACCCGCTAAATGTGCAGACGACAGTATATAGTACACGACAATGTATCTACGAATCCCGTGTACGACACATGTGCCATGTCGTAGAGCTCGCTGCGTTCGAGTAGGTAAAAGCGCACAAAAGATGTGTGCGCATGTGTCGTACATGTTTTCACCCCCCTCTCCCACATGTATACAATCCAAACGTGTCCAAGCAAAGCCACGCAAAAAGCATCTCACGTGATCTGCGGAAGACATGCGTTACTGTATCAGTACTGTATCCGGGGGGCAAAGAACCATTCTTATTACAGCAGCTGAACAATGTCGTCCTCGCAACACGCGCTCTCCAGGCATCTGCGTCACATCCCCTCCTCCGCCACAAATCCCTCCTCCGCGCCAAACGCTCAGATAACCCAAACGGCAGTGGCATATTGCCGACGGTTTACCAATCCGGGATATGGGGCTCTAGGGACACATGCAGGCAACGCGGGGAGTATAGATGCTGTCGTCGTTCTCTTGAGCCAAAACAGCATCGTACATCGTACTACAAGGAAGTTGGTACATCACTACCAGCGAGACAAGAAGTAATAATGGAAGGACACGTTTTCCAGCAGGGGTGCGTGTTACCGCGGGTGGCTGCCAACACCGGCTACAGGTATTGTACGTCGGCTGCGGGGTTACCGAAGCGATACAGGAACACAGCCCCCAAGTCCCATACCCAGATGGACCGCCATGCCGCCTTCTCACTCACACACCAAACTGGGCATGCGGATGAACCCCCACCCTACCCCCCACCCTACCCCACAGCACACAGGCTGATTCTCTCCCAAGCCCCCGTACATGATACCATACGTTAAACACACATACATACAGCGCTACAGTCCCAAATGCGTGCACCACTGCACAAGCAGAAAAACGAAGTGCTCAACCTCGGGAAGGAAGGCCCACAGATCAGCTTGGTCGGGGCGTCGTCTCAAAAAGAGTGCCAGGTCTTGCACTGGAATAATCTATGAAATCATAATAAATCGGCCACTTCATTTTGCTAACATGTCACAATAACGTTATTGCGGTACCTGCAAGCATTTCGACTCAAAACAAATCGAAGCGCAACAGCTAAATGGCTGCCCCTCGTATCAGCCATCCTGTGAGCCGTTTTCAGCAACCAGCTGCAGCTTTCAAATGTTGTGCAGAATGCTGCCGCAGCACTGATGGAGGTGCCCGCAGCGGATGCAGATGCTGCGGCGGCTTGGATGCGAACATGCTGCCGTACAGGGGCTGAATCACGTCCCTGAAGAACTCCAGAGCCGTGTCTGCGTGTAATTGACAGCATGAAGGCACGGAGGGAGGGACAACCTCGCCCTCTTATTTGGGTTGTTGGCATAGTTTGGTTTAATATCGGATTTTGTGACTGTGCATACTTGCACAACTATGCACAACTATGCACATGAATGTGCGCGCGTTGGCCAATGCGTTTGCCTTGGTGGTGCATGGTTTTCGGAAGGAAACCTCTTTTCTCTTCTCTACCCCTCTGCATATGCAAAACATGTCGGAAAGGACTTCACACCGCGTCCATGTTTGGGGAGCGGCGGCGGTGAGATGTCCCTCATCCATTCACTCACGGTTGGCTGGCCTGGATTGAGTTTGGATTCGGATCTGATCTGGGTCAGGGATGCTGAGGGGAGGCGGCCTGCTGCGCCAACCGACTCGCAAAACGCATGAGCTCCATCAAGGACCACGCACCTGCGCCTGCACAGACCGATACACATCCAGGGAGTATGACGTGTGAGGAAGTGGGCAGAGATTAGGCGAGCCAAGACAGCAGAGGATCGCCAGCAACAAGAGAAAAACATGTACTTGCAGCTTTTGCTTAGGTGCGGCGGTTCGTGATACATGAGCGTGTGCGACCTGGCGTTGATCCAGATCACTAGTTCCTTTCCCTGCCGGTGCGCGTCCCGCCGTCGTCTCTTGCGCTCAAATTTCAGTCCCCGACCTCCCTTTCCACCATTCCTTAATAGCTCAGCCCGTTAAGGAGGGGACTCGCACCTGATGGCACATTGGCGCACGCTCCCGCCTCGCCTGAGCAACAGGTTTTAAGAAGGGACAGGAAAAGGGAAAGTCAGCATGCGGCAGTGATGAGAGGCTGTATGATGGTGCAGTATAAATCAAACATAGAATTTCCTTGAGACGGCGGTCAGGACAAGTTGGTGTGGCGCATCTTGAACATGCATGCCGAGAAATCGCTTAATAAGGTCAACCCTGACGCACCCGATAATTTCTCGACCAGTGCTCTGCGCTCTGCTAAGAGGAGCCGCTTGTCGTTCATCAGTCGTTCGCGGCGTTCTTTTAGCACCGGCGCGCGCTTCTTGTTTGCTTTATCGCCGATTTGCCGCTCCACTTCCTCAAGCTTCGACTCAAGGTCGCGGACCTCTTCGTTCAAATATTGAATTTGCCTATCGATGCAATCCATCATTGCAGAAGCCGAAAAGACAGCTGAGCTGCGTCTTGGAAAGCTGGACGACCAAATGCCGGGGGGGAACAGGATGCAAACGCTATTATGATAATGCCGTGAAAATTTTTGTTTGGCAGAAAATATGGGTCCAAATCCTGAATTTAAGCGGCTTTTGCAAGTTTTCAACTTGGGGAGTTGCGCACGTGACTAAGCCATGTGTACGCTTTGCGCAGATTGACCATGCGAACAAAACCAAGGCCGTTGTGGCCATCGGATCCAAAAAATGTTAAACCCTCTTGCGACATGCCATGCGATGAACGTGCGCAGCGCACGCATCACGGCCGATATGGCCGCTGCACGCCGCTGCACTGCTCTAATTCCTTCCAACCACCTGCAGGGCCATGATTCCTCCGCTGCCCACCCAGCTAATGCCGTTCCTCGTGCGGGGCTGCCAGCATATGCAGATCGCACATATCAGCGAATGGCGGCTGCACGCTGGCTTCTTGCTAAGACCTTGTGAGATCTTGTGAACCCATAATCTTCAAAAGGGCCCGGGAAGCTCCCCTGGGGTGAACAAATGAATCCAAAAGCTGTGAACTCAAAACGACCCAAAGTGAGCCCACTCAAATTGACGCCAACCGCAACACATGTCCGTAGGCAATCACACATTACGGCCAAATCAGGGACTGGGCCATTCACAGAGCGATTGTTGACTTCTGGGTACGGTTACATCTTTTACTGCATTCGGCCGACCCAAGCGCGGTTGGAACACAGTTGGACCTTACCACCCTTCTTTTACGGGTAGTAGAGGACAATTTGCTTTGCATGGATCCGCTCAAAGACGAAGGGGATTGGGAATTCCACCCCTTGGGTGAATTTTCAGGCACAGCGGATGGTAGGATGGCAGTCCCCGGTGTATTTGGCCGCACTTCTTCACATCGAGGCAACACTAGTACTCTGGTATTTGTAGGCATGAGTTTCTCATTTATAAGGGAGTCATCTTGGCAAAATCCCGCTCTTGGCAGCCGTCGTTGCTAGCCCGGTCTTAGTCGTATCCCAGCTTGTTGAGGTGTTGTGCATGCCGATACTGACCACTTGTCCTTCCTTTCCAGGCCCGTGTCTATTACAGCGACAGTCGATGTGCGCTTTGTCTCGGTTTCTTTGCTGTACGGTATAGAAACATTTGGTAGCCCCCTGAAATAACACCAACATAGCCACAAGCGACACCGACCGACCGACCCACATGTATCACAGTCAACAGCAGGGCCATCAGATCATTGGTCAGGGATTATTAGAACTATATCTTAGATTCCTTTCACAACACAGATGGCGAACAGCTTTTTAACCCCAAACTGATGCACCATACTCACTCGCGACAGCACGTAGGTGTTCCTATGCGAGCGTATCTTCGCGTGGGTGTTTCAGCGCAATGCTTTGGCTACGGATGCAAAACTCCCATTTTCCTTATCCCCCTGAACCTGCATGCAGCGACGGACACGACCGCAAACGCGCGGCGCCGCAGCTTTTTGGCGCTCCACTATAAATTCATGCTTTGTGCCGATTCCCTACCTTACTGGTTAGTTGAGTTAGTCGAGGAAACACTCTTAACAGCACGTTCCTCCACTGGACGGCCGCTCGCACTCCTCTGAGTTGGGCTGTCAGCTAAATGTTGGACTGCAAGTTGCTAATAGTGCACATGCAATTGATATGAGATGCAGGCTGCACATGGGTGGAGGTTACCATTTCGTTTCCAACACGTGGTGAACGAGACAGCAAGGCCTTTTGCACACACCGCCCAGTTTTTTGCCGTAAGGTGGCGGGCCTTAGGCCCCATACAAGGGTGTTGGGCGCGGATGTGTGCGCCGTCGGTTCTTACAATGTTCGTGCCATCCGCCCCCAGGTTGGGAATGAAAATAGCTGGCTGACGCGATTTCGTCGGTCGGAACAAGAGCAATGACTTCAATTTGGGTTGGAGAAAATTAAAGAATTCTCACAATGTCCTCAACATATATTTGCTATTTAAGATAGCCACGCTGCCTGGAAGTGCTCCCCGGGAAAGGCCTGACCTGTACTTCTCCCTTGTCCGGTGCTCTGGGGCTACTTCACAGCCTCCATTTCCTCCCAACCTCCACTCCTCCCTCCCTTTCCCCCTCCCTTCCCTCCTCGTCCCTTCCCTCCTCAACCCTTCCCTTGGTCAACCCTTCCCAATGAAGGCATTGCATCCCAACCTAAGTCCCCCTCTCTCGCTCCTGCGATGCCAAGTTCCGAGAGGGGAAAAAGGATGGGATGGCATTTTCCCATCACGGAAGATAGTCATTTGCGGTGGGATCTAATCCTCCCCATCCTTAAGGGTTTGGTTGGCCGGGACGTACTTGGGCAGCTATGTGTGTGCGCAGTGAGCGTGAGAACGAGGCTTTGCCTGCGCGTTCATGACCGGGCCTCTTAGTTTTCTTCACGAAACCTTTGCCGCTAGGTCGGTTATGTGCGCGCACTCCTCGTTATCTTTTGACCGTAGGGGCCAAGGGATTCCGGTCTGGAACAACACCTCCCAAAGGATGACGGCCACCGCCCCCAAAACCAACAAGCTTCCAGCGTTTCTGGGGCCGCTGGATTTGAAAAGTGTCTAGAGGTCCAAATATATGTCTTGCGAGTGTGTGCGCCCGCTCATGGTGGCCGTTCGCTCATGCCGGAACTGTCGGCGTTGGCCATGTTCGTTATGAAACGACCCATGAGTGGTGCACAACCCAAGGTCTCATATGTAAATGTCTGACTCCATGATCATATTTGGAGGCCACAATTGCGCACGTAACGAGGGTGATGCTGGTAGAAACTCATCCGTGTTCCATTTACGAAGAACACGAACGAAAATTGTAGACCCGAGATGCGTCCAAATATTTGCATGTTACGTTGTTCAAAGCCTAAAGCTTAATATGTATGAAACCCCTCCAAGCCTAGGAAGGGCATAGATGACATGGACTTGATCCAGTGACCAGACTTTGTCCCGAACGTATCTTCCCTTTTCCAGCCAGTAGCAAGTTCATACATGTATCCCAAAGCGCTCTCTGCCGAATGTCGTGCTGTAGTGTTCTCAGGCTCGAGAGTACTGGTGAAGCGGTTGTACGACAGGTGCCAGTAGCTCCTTTTCGTACAGTTTTGCATACATAAGCAAAGGCGACGCCTCCTTTCCGCACAACAAAACACGAAATAGCAAAGTTACATTCCTTAAACTACAACGCCATTCTATTCTTTCTCCCCTACCATCTCGAAGTTCAACAACTGAAGCCCAATTGCGGTAGTTGACATTTCCGCATGCCAAGCCATGGCGCGTAGTATTCAGTGCATCGGTCTTGCGGCTTGCGTTTTGGCGGCGCAATATGTTGCGGCGCAGGTACGCGTTATTTTATGCCCTTCTTGCTAACGCCCCCGACGCGTCAAACGTGTTATTATCTGACCAAAATACCACCCAATTGCCCATTACAGGAAATCCTAAGTAAACTTATCGTAACAGATGCTCTTTTCAATGGTGCGAAGAAGGTGAGGGCCACGGCGTCATGCCGCGTCGGCCGCGAGCTTTTTCTGTGTCACATCCCACGCAGCATTCATCCGGCCATCCTCTTCACCCATTTTGTAATGTGTTCCAGGATGCTATCCATAGCCATCTACAGCGGATGCTCCAATTGGATTCTGAGCGCGAAGAGTCGGAGAGTGAGTGCTGGGTGATGTACTGGGCTGTCCTTCAAACCTGCGATCCTATGCGCTGTATCGTTTCATCCATGGAGTCTTTCAATGTTTGTAAAGAAGTATAATTGCATGTGGGTTTGGGTGTGTCGTTTTTCTAACTGGTTTTGTTACGTGTTCTACTCACGCAGCTTTGGAAAGCTGCAGCCCCGCCGCCTTGTTGCAAGACAGAAAATGTACAGTCCAAATTGCTGCTGGTAAGGTGTTGTTGCATAGTGTCCATGCCGTGTGTTTGAGAAATAATACATTTCTCCCTACCCACTTTTCTCCTTTTATCTCATTACCCTCAGGCTTGAAGCTTGCGTCGAAGACTGGAATTAAGTCTTCCGTCGAAAGCAAGATATCTGCACCAATGTGCAAGGGCTCGGACTGCCTCAATGCGCCGATGCCCAACAACAAGGGGTCATCCGGCAGCGAAAGCGTTGAAGTCGAGGGCAATGAACCAGCAACGAAATTGGTCACATACGGTCCGATGACCCAGGACGCTTATCAGCGCATGGTGCAGCGCAAGCGTGCAGCGAAGAGGGACGAGCTACAGAAGAAGGGCGCTCTCACCCCGGAGCTGGACGCGTTCTTGAAATGTAAGGTGATGGCAGTGAGTCGCGCTGGCCTTGTCGAATAAATTTTAGACAAGTCGACGGTTGGAGATACCAAGAAAAACCGCCTCGGAAAAAGTTATAGTTGGTAGAAATTCGATAACAACAGGGTTTTGCTCTAGGAAGCTCTGCCTTGGTCGTTTTGGTCACTCTTCGTTAACTTCAGGAAATAAATATCTTTTTTCCCCTTGCCTCTCCTCTCTTTGGAATATTCCTTCCACCTTCCTTCTTGCAGCTTCGAATGCTGGCGAGCTGAAGGACGCCTTCGGCATTCCACTGCCAGCGGCCCCCACAGAGCCTCGCCGCCCTCGTGATGATTTTGAAATGCGCTTCCAGCCGCAAACCCCCTCGCCCGACCCCGCCATCCGCGCTCCTTCCTCCTCGAAGTCTTCCTCGCCCAGCGACACCAGCAGCTCAAAAGCCAGCTCGGATTTTGAAATGCGCTTCCAGCCGCAAAGCCCGGCTATGGAACCCGGTGCCCTTCGCCAAGAGCTTGAGGCCTTTATCGCCGCCTCGCCCGTGGCGCAGCACATGGCCCACAGCACTGCTTCCTTTACCACCACCTCTACCTCGACCACCACCACCTCTCCGTCCGCCCCCGCAAGCAGCACCGCCGAGAACGCAGCTGAGCTCAAGTCGGTCGTAGCCGCCGCAGCAACATTGGCAGTAGCCGGAGCTAATGTGCCTCATCAGAAGCCGTCTTTGGAAGACCCGTTGCCGCTACCAGCTGCGGCCAAGACGCTGAACGACGTAGCCGCCGCCGCCGCCGCCGCCGCCGTGGGCCCAGCTCGTCCCCCAATGACGAAGACCCAGGCAGAGGCGGAGGCTGCGGCCGCAGCGCAGCAAGTCGCCGCGAACACCGCCGCCGCTCGGGAGGCGAATTTGGAGCGAAAGCGCCAACTGGTTCGCGAGGAGGCGGCTGCTGCCGCCGCCAACAAGAAGAATGCTGCTAAGCGTACCGGTTCGTCGTCGTCGTCGTCTCCATTGAGGGGGCAGCATAAGCAGGAGCAGCAGCGTCGTGGAAGCGGCAGTACCACTCCCACTACCACTCCCAGTGCCAGTACCAAGTATGTACATGCCATGCGATCCGCCCCCGGTGCCCCTCGTCCCATTTCCTCATCGTCACCATCGGTGAGATCCAAAGCGGGTGTGACTGGTTACCTTTTCGTGGCTTTGCTCGCGGTGGCGGCGGCGGTGGGGTTGTTCGTGGCGGCGGCGGTGATGGAGGATGCACTGCTTGCTCGTCCAAGCGGAGTGAAGAACGGCGCCGCCGTCGCGACGGCTGCGCTACCGGGTCAGTGGCTTGTGCTGACGCGCGGCTTGTGGCGCCGTTGCCGTCGTGCCTTCGCCGCCGCTCGTAAACAGCTGATGGGTCACGGATCGGATCTGCCTATGTCGGTTAATGAGGGAAGCAGCCCCGTCGCACGTGCCGTTGCCGCCGCTAGCGCGTTCGTACATGTCTTTTGGATGCACTTCCGTCACCAACAGCTTAGTGGGGCTGTAACGGCTGCATTGGATGCGTCGCGTCGCGCGTCGGCTGGCGGCGGCGTCGCCTCTTTCGTACCCGACCGCGCGTCGGCCGGCGGCGCCGCCGCTGCCACCCCGGCGTCGGTGTCGTCTTACCAGCCTTATATCACCAGCCCGTTTGCGGCGCCGCTGTACCAGCAATCGTACGGCGCTGCAGCCATGGCTGCTTCGTCGACATCATACGTAATCGAATCTGACGTCAGCGCTGCCGTTACGGTGGATGGCAATCTACGGCGCCGGCATTAACCGTCTGGTTGGTTGGCCATGTTGGTTGTTGGCAGTTGGTAGCCAACCGCTTGCGTGAGAGAGTTGGGGAGTGGTCGTTGGGCGCCGAAAAATGCGCCTCGGATGCGCACGTAATGCAGTTGCAGGTGCCCCGTGCTTCTCTCGAGTATTTTGCAGGTGCCTCGTTCTTCTCCTTGGTAAATTGCTTTCACATAGACAGATAATTAGCTGCGTTGCTTTTGCTTTCCACGGCCTTTAGTGTTGTTAGTTGGTACGGCGCCGTCCACGTGTCGCCAACTGGCGGTTGGACGTTGCGTAGACGTCCGCGCCGTTATGTGTTTGCTTTCGCGTGTATTGCGTGTATTGCGTATTTATGTAAATAGAAGCGGCCATAGGGGATTGGGAATGCCGAAGGGGCAGTGGCTGGTGCGGCGGCAATTAGATTTTGAATTAATGATCCACTATCCACTTTTAAGTAGTCACAGTACCTGTGGTACCTGTCTGAACTGGTTGACAATTGTCAACGGACAACGGAAAAGGCGCCAGTAGTCCTCTTTTCGCTGTCCTCTTGTCTTGTCTTGTTGTTGGCCAATAGTTGGTTACCACAGCCGCCCTTCACAGGCGGGACAGCCCCATGGTGAAGGGCGGTCGGATTGGGGAGATGGGGTTGACCTCACCCCTGCCGAATGACTTGTGTACGGTGCGTTGTACCGCATGCCGTACTGTAGACAAATTAACGGTTTTTAGACGGGAACGAATTTAAGGACCCAGCCATAGGTACCGCCGCAGTGTGGTTGTGCTGATTGTGTCGATTGTGACGCACACACTCGGACTTGATGTATATTTTTGCTGGGTAAGGAAGGGACGGTTTGCCGGGTAAGGGAGGTTGGGGAGCTGCGAGACAGCTAGCTTGAGGGCCGGCGGCGATCATCAAAGTGGGCGGGGGGGCAATTTGTTTGATTTGTGTGACACACGAGGACCTGGGAAAATAAGGCCCTTCTATGATTTGGAAGCGAGCTGGCCTCCTGTTATTGCCCTTCTTGCTTTATTTTATCTAACAAAGTGGCGGTGGCAGCAAGTGCGGCATCTGCTGCCGTACGGTACCGCGTTGTGCACTGCGCTTTTCCGACCTCCCAGTACTCGACGGGCTGTGATACTGGGACTTCTACCAGAGCCTAGTAGGTGACATTATGTACGATTGATGTACAGCAATTTCGTATGCGTCTTGCATTACGTGGCCCATTGCATCAGCAGCTATGGCCTTCATGTCGTGTGTTCGTTGATTTCGTTTTTGTCTATTTGTGTGTTTGAGCATCAGGCCTCAAGTGGTGATGATGTCCATGTGCATGTTCGTGTATGTCGGTATGTGAATGTGACCTCGGCGCCGTACTGTACAGCTGGTATTGTACGGCAATGGCGCGTTAGGTCTCAGCGCAAGGTTTTGAGAGGAGAGTGTGGGATACAGACCCAAGGGGGGTTTCCCTAACTTGGCGTGAAAGAGGCTTCTTGGAGAGGTGTATGTGTGGAGTTCTCATCACAGCACCTATGGGTGGGTCGGAGCGTAGTTGAATTCTTTCTTTTTTAGTGTACGCCTTGGCGCCCTTTTTTATTTTTCATCACATATGCTTTTGGAGGCGACGGCGGCGCTCCCGCTTTCCTACCCCTCAGTAGAGGCCGCGATGGGCAATAAAATGTGTGGAGCCCCAGCGCCTCGAGTCGTCAGAGTGTGGCGGTGTAGGGAGGTTGACGCTTTTGGAAATGTCGACGAAGTTAATGGCAGTGTAGTTGGTTTGTGGCGACTGCGTGCCGAGCTCTCCCGGCGCGTGCGCTTCACAGCACCGTGTGTTTTGGCATGTGGCTCTGTTGGGATTGCCTCACCCGTTTTCGCCTCACTCTCGCTCGCTCGTTCTCTCCTCCTCCTCCTCCTCTTGGATTTGTTTATTGGGGCCTCCTTGGAGTCAAAAGTGTCCGCCTGGTAAGGAAGTACCTTCGGTCGCGGATATATATGACTTGGAAACGACATCTCTCACCCGCCGTTGTACATACACACACGCATCGTTGTTCTTGTCCTTGTCTTGTGCACGCGAGTAAAATTGCTGTACAATGCCGTACCGTCTTTGACTAGGGTCGGATTGATTATTAGAATTATTGTTGCTGCTGCTGCTTGTCGGTAATTATTGCCTTTGTAGTTCGTCTAGTCCGACGTCTAGAAGGACATTGGTCGAGAAGGCCGTTCCTGGCTTAAGTGTGAGCTGCTCGCTATTTAGATCACGAGGCTAGGTATTGCGTGAGCGGATGGATGGTGGTGTCGATGGCGGTTTTGTTTGCCTCGCGTCTAGTAGCGGCATTGACTACGTGCAGTGCCGTAGTAGTTGTAGCAGTAGTAGTAGAGGGTCCGTGGCTTTTTTGCAGTCGTTGTATGCTGAAGGTGTGTGCACACATCGCTGCAAACGTAAGCAGCCGACGAACGCAAAACATGCAAGTAATAGAATTTGAGGGCGTGTTAAGCTGCGATTTGACGCGGATCCCTGTCATTTGTGCTTGCTTGTGCGTAATTAGGTAAAGGAGTTGTAGAGGCCTCCTCGCTTTCCCCTCTAGGAGGGTGATTATTGTGGTGTTTGCGTTATACCGCTTCAAGGTGAACCTGCTAAGGCTTGCAGTTTTGCTGCTTCCACGCTTCCGGAAGGTATGCAGGCATTTTGAGGAAACTCGCTTCTCTTAACGGTAAGTGCGGACGGTTGATAATTAGCGGTTACTTGTTACTTTGCGACACGACGTTTTGGCGACGTGGCTTAACCTGTCGGTGTAAACCCTCTTGGGGGGTTAAGAGAGACTTAGCTTTACAACAGTTGTGTAGGACTTGTATGTAGAGTCTGTCGTTTTGTTATCGTAGCAAACAGCGCTCCGGCTCTGTGCTTGCTGTGTATGTTTCTGATTATTGTTGCTATTAGTGGTCGGTGCGATGGTGGCGAGGGGCATGGGGACGGAGGGGCTAGAAAGGGGGGAGACTTGGATTTCGTATGATCGTACAGTAGCACGGCCCAGCGGCCGATCGCGACTGTGATGCCCTTTAGCCTTGTAACGAATGCATGTTGATTAAGTGCTCGTCCTGTAGTGCAGTACGGCAAGTGCGGCGCGGGAAGGCGCAGACCAGAATTGGCCAGAGGACAGGGACTGATACGGTAGTTCGTTACAAAGATTAGCTGGGAACAAAGCGCTAAATCCAGACAACGCAAGTTCGCCAGTCAACCGTGCAAGCAAGCGCAAGTCAGAACGTCGTTTGTTGGGGATTTGAGTTGTTTTAAATAGTGATTTACAGTGTATTCGGGACCCAGCTTAATAAGAAAGTAGATAAGGCGATACGACGTTACTGGCATATCGGTCGTCAGTAACAGCGAAGCGATGGCCGAGCGCGAGGAATTGCGCGGCGGAGTCCAAGAAGGCTTGGAGGATATCAACGACCAGCGAGATGAAGTAGGACATCAGAATGGCGGGCCAACAAATTACCCAGAGGGGGCCGATGCGGTGAGTAACAGACGCCGTCTATTACTCCGCGCGGTCAGACAGCAGGCACAGTCAGCCGCCGCAAGATCTATTATATTAAAGGCATGGGAAGGACCGGACACAGTTTAAAAATAGCGGGAATGAAAGGCGCCGCCGCTGATGTTTGACCAGGCTTGGTTAGATGCTCCGAGTCAGGTCTAGCCTATGGAGAGCACGAATCTGCAGGCCGCGAGTAGGCAACTGCGAGCGTTAGTGGTAGTGAGGTTGGATCCGTTTCCGGTGGTTGGCGCCGCGGCAGAGGGGTAGTTGCTTTGGGAATGGCTCGGCGTAGTTTGTTATCCCAGCGGGTTACTGTCAAGAGAGCAGCTAAAGTCCGCAGTAGCGCCCAGGCAGGGGTACGCCCACTGGGGCCACGCACGGGAAAGGAAGCACCTAGTCGACGGGTTCACACTTCGGAAGGGGGAAACGCCCAATATAGAGTACCCATAGCCCTGTAGGTTTAATCCGAAGGGGATCTCGCGAAGGGCTGAGTGCCCGTGTGGCGCTGCGTTTATCCGGAAGGCCAGCCCCAGGGGGTATGCTCTCGCGCAGCGCAGCACCCAGGCTGAGTTGCCTTAGGCCGGTAGGTTTTGGTCGCAAGTAACCCGGAAGGTCAGCCCCAGGGGGTATGCTCCCGCGCAGGGTCGGGTTACCTTGGGCCCGCCTGCTTGAACCCGCTTATCTGGAAGGCCAGCACTAGGGTGGTTGCCCTCGCTTAGCGAATACCCAGGGTTGGGTTGCCTGAGGCTGTTAGCCTTGACCTGGAGAATGCCTTCACGTCGCAATGGAACCGCGTACAGGAAAGGGACGAGGAAGGCTCGGAGGAGGGACAGGAAGAGTCGTCAGACAGCGACGACGCCCGCAAAGGGGCCTCATCAGCGAAGGCGAATAGGCGATGCGTGCAGGGCAAGCGGCTCCGTACGAGAGGCCTTGGAGTCGTGGCCCCATCACCAAAGCGCGTGGCGGTAATGCGGCTACCGTTGCATGGGCCGGTACGAGCGAGGCCGCCGTCGGAGGCGCGGAATGAAATTGCCGGGGAAGGGGTACCGCGGGACCCAAGGCAGGGCCAGGGAGACCCGGAGGGTGAAGAGAGGCGGTTCACGGCGCGGTTTTTCAGGCGGTACGGCATGGAAGGCTGGAAGCAACTACTGTGCGAAGAACTCCAGGAAGAGGGAGAGGGGAAGCAGCAGCAGTTGGACGAGTGGCCGAACGTGAGGCCTCGGGGAAAGCAGCCCAACAACGCGGGGGCAGGAACACGGTACCAGGTGGCCACTGCTGGCCCGGAGGAACAGCCCTCGGTTTACAGCGTCGTTAGGGAAAAAGACGTCCAAGAGGCTCACAGCCGCCGCAAGGAGGCGCTCAGGGTTGCTCGGGAGGCGCTGAATCTCGTGGAGTCGGACCGCGTCCCAAACTCCCAGCTGTGGGCGACCATCATGGCCCAGGCTGGGGCAATGACAGAAGGTCCATGCGGGCTGCGGGTGGTGAAATCCGCGGTATCGGCGATGTTAGAGCAGGCGGAAGAGGCGGTGGTAGACGCTTTGGCCAATGTAGGCCCAGGGCTGGTTACTGAGCTGCGCAGGTGCTTTAGCGAGGCAGTAGAGCCGCATCATCGCGGAGTGGTGAAGTTCATAGGGCAGCAGGCCAAGCAGGTATCGAAGGAGCGCTTCGTCGGGCAGGTTACGGGATACCTGGTGCAGTGGGGCTGGGTAGAGACGAGTCTGGCGGCGTTGCAGAGGCGGGCTCGCGATTCACGGCTGCACTGGTTAGAGGCTGCACTCCAGACCGTGGATGTGAGCACACCGACGTTTCAGGAGGTGAAGGAGCGCACCTGGCCGGCCGTGGTCCTGTTGATGCGCGCGGCCCAGAGGATCCAGGAGGCTCATGGGCAGATGGCCCAGAGTCTCTTGAAGCATGTGGGAGGTGGCGATGGCGACCGTAGGCTGTTGTGGGGCCCCGGCGCAGCAGGGGAAGGGCGGCAGCCGGGGGACCCCGGCCACTCCGAACAAAGGAACGTGGGTTGGGGCCAAGTGGGTGGGGGCTTTCAGGCCCCCACTCGGGACGCGGGGCTGGGAGCGCCTCAAGCCGGGGGCCGCGGAGGGCAGCGCCTGAGTCCACCTGCTAGCGTGGTGGCGGCAGTTAACCAGGAGCTAGACCGACGGGGATTCCAGGGAGTGGGTGCCGGGTCAATCATGGAGAGTGCGTACAGAGGCAACGTAGATGGAAGCAAACTCTGCACTAGCCACACGTGGAAGGGACGCTGTGTCAAGGCGCAGATGGGGCAGCCCTGCCGGTATAAACACCCGGCAACGGAGGCAGAACAGGTGACGCAACTGGTGGACGCCCTGGTTAGCCGCAATGAAGCGACGCGCAAGGTATAAGTTGTAGTCAGGGGCGCGGAAAAGGTCAATCGGGAAGATAGCTGCTGGTGGGCCGGTTCTGTCGGTGGGAACGGCTGGAATAAAGCCTGCCGCGGTCCAGAGGTTGGACGGGCGGCTCGTGACTCAAGCCCAGAGGCCTATGCTAACCAGGTCGACTGAGAGCACGCAGTCACGAGCTGCCCTTCCAACCTCTGGACCGCGGCAGGCTTTATTCCAGCCGTTCCCACCGACAGAACCGGCCCACCAGCAGCTATCTTCCCGATTGACCTTTTCCGCGCCCCTGACTACAACTTATACCTTGCGCGTCGCTTCATTGCGGCTAACCAGGGCGTCCACCAGTTGCGTCACCTGTTCTGCCTCCGTTGCCGGGTGTTTATACCGGCAGGGCTGCCCCATCTGCGCCTTGACACAGCGCCCCTTCCACGCGTGGCTAGTGCAGAGTTTGCTTCCATCTACGTTGCCTCTGTACGCACTCTCCATGATTGACCCGGCACCCACTCCCTGGAATCCCCGTCGGTCTAGCTCCTGGTTAACTGCCGCCACCACGCTAGCAGGTGGACTCAGGCGCTGCCCTCCGCGGCCCCCGGCTTGAGGCGCTCCCAGCCCCGCGTCCCGAGTGGGGGCCTGAAAGCCCCCACCCACTTGGCCCCAACCCACGTTCCTTTGTTCGGAGTGGCCGGGGTCCCCCGGCTGCCGCCCTTCCCCTGCTGCGCCGGGGCCCCACAACAGCCTACGGTCGCCATCGCCACCTGGTAGGTTTTGTCATGCTATTCGCCTTTTGGATGCACTGCAGCTTCGTCTCGTCCATTTGCGTGTTCATTATTACAATAATATGATTTTATCGCCGGAATCGCCATTCAGGATGTATCGATGTCAGGTCGCCGTAGAACTTCGTAGCAAATCAAAGGGCAGAACACCACATCAGATTAGCAAGAGGCTGGGGTCCGAATTCCAGAGACGGTATTTAGCTCTATCGGAAGATGCGGGTTCGGATCCCACCGCTGGTCCGCAATAGATCGCGGTGTCGAAGGCTGAGATGAGACACTGGGTTCCTCCAGTGCGCTGGGCGGCTGGAGGGGGAGCCCAATACGAAGACCCTGCCGCAGAGCAGTGGTGGAGGCTTAGTTCTGCATAAGGCCTGGACCAGATGGTGGGGCGAATAATGAAATCGGGCAACGGCAGGACTCGCAAGGATTTAGCGATTGGCACTGGTGTGAGTGCATTGGCACATCGCGCATCTGTGAGTGCATTGGCACATCTACAGAGCACGCGCTCTTGGGATCTGAGCTGGTACATGTAGCTGGCTAGAGGACTCGAACAGGTGACGGCGCCTTGCGTTGTAAGGGAAAACGGTTAATGCTTGTTCTTCCCCATCTGCACTCCCGGTTGCTTCCCATCTGATGGGTACTCCGCTGGCAAGACAGTCACACGCGTATGGTCCCAGCCGCTCATCAAACGCTCTCTTAGTGCCGTTATAATCGCTCCTTCGGGTAGAGGCCTACTCAACAGCCAGTCAACGCGCTCCTTTACCCCCATGACTTCTTGCGGTATTCCGCTCCAAATATTGCACTCCCAGAAGGATAACAGTCGTAACATTGAGGTTCCCCAACCCTCTCATTCCGCGGCTTGGTCAGAGCATCGGTTATCTCCTGCCGTAAAACTGCATGAGCAATGGACCCCACTTGCTTTTTAAGGCGGTTCCAGAAACGGAGGATCTGTTTCCCCATGTAATATTGTAGGGAGCCCTCAGCTAGCTCCGCATACAACAACCGGTGATGGCCGTGCCGCCCCCATTACCTGCCTCATGAATAAAATCTGCAGCTGGACTGCGCTATCCTTCAAACAGGCTTCGAACATGCCCTCCGCAAGGTTGGCATTATCCCGGCGCCTTCCCGCCCTGTCCACGACCTCTGCCAGTGCAAAAGGGCCCCACGCCTGGCAGCCATACAACAGAATTGCTCGGACTTGGATTGCAAAGCACCGCATTCGCACGTCGGGGGCAAACAGCTTCATTTTGTCCAGCTTTGCGCTTAAGGAAACCATAGCGGACCGTCCTGCATCACATAACTGCTGACGGCACGCATTAAGAGGCCGTTCTGGCCCGTATACCAAGCCCAGATAGCTAGCGTTATATTTGGCAGGTACTACCTGGCCTGATAGCCGTAACTGTTTTGACAACTCTCGCTAAGTTCCGACGGCTGGGTGTCATCACATGCAAAAAGAAGCCTTTCACACTTGGTCGCATCCCAAAAGCTTCACAAAACAAGTCCACAAGACGTAGCAACTCAGACATTCGCTCTAGTGACGTCCCTAGCAGACTAACATCGTCTGCGTACAACAGTATGGAGACGCGCTTGCTGTCCACAAGGGGTATGTCATGCTTACGTACTCCAGCTTCTACAAGCTCATGAGTATCAATCAGATCAGCTAGTGTCTCAACGAAGAGTCCAAACAGCTCCCTAGATAGAGGACACCCTTGCTTCACTCCTTGCTTAGACTCAAACTCTCCTCCCACTTCCTCATTCACCTTCATCACCATGAAGAAAAGTAACCTCCGCTTTGACACGTCTTCCCAGCACGGGACGGCATACGGCAGACCGTACGACTAAAAAAATGATCGCAATATTTCTCATATCCATTCATCGAAAAAAAATGCCATCACAACGTTTCACTGCCACCACGCCGAACAGTCAACCGTATCAAACATCAACCGACTCTGAAAATCTTTGGCGCCAGACGAAAACGATTTCTCTTCACATGCGCGAAGCTATGTACTTGGCTAGATCCACCATACGGCAGCTGTAGCCGTACTCGTTGTCGTACCATGCATAGATCTTGACCATGGTGCCGTCGATGACCTATACCCGGAGGGGCCCCCAGGACGAGTGGGTCGGAGAGTTTGGTGGGTAGGAAACTGAACGATGGCCAACACCACGCATGTAAGAGCGGATGTACCGCCTGTGCCATCGTGCTGTGTTTGCACGTATTTTCCCACACAGCCAGCCCTCTTCACCCCCTCAGCCCACCAGGCAAACGCACAGCAGACGTGTCAACCCATTCCCAGAGGCATGTCGCACACACATACATACACACGCACGCGCGCGTGGGCGCCTACAAGCACTGATCACAACCCAACTTGTAGTATACGTGTAACCCATCCGCATTGCCGTACAAATCCGCTAAAATCTGCCATTACCGCTCCACCTCCACCACTCTTTCCTTGGAAGCAGCTTCACTCACTCGGGGTTCGTTTTTTCTCCCCCACCACCACTTCCCCCCTTCTTTCCCCCCCCACCCGGCCCACCTGAGTGCAGGCCGCATCCACAATGGAGCTCCGCGGGTCGTTGACGTAATCCGTACTGACCTACGTGTATGTGTGCGTGTAAGGTGTGTGAGGAGGTGTGTGTTTGTGTGTCCGTAAAAAGGGGAGAGATGGGAAGCATGTTGGTGTGTGTGTCTCGCGTAGTGTGTTATAGAACGGGGTGAGAAAGGGTAGTCAGTTACATATCGCTGTGCTTAAATCCTAGCATACAGCAGCTAAAGGACGTGAATTCCAATACACACCGATGCCCTGTTTGTTCACGTATACAAACATGGATCCGTACGATGTAATTCGTTATTGCTCTGGATATGTCAAGCTTTTCGTACATGTATACCATAGAGGTCAGGCACTACTGGTATTGCACGCACCAATGCCCCGGGAGATCCCGGGATCGAGACCTGTCAGGGTTGAAGGTATAACAGTGCCCCTAGTCGATGGACGGTGGTGACCTGGGATAAAATTGACTCGCAAGCCGACCAGGAATGGAGTTGGGCCGCATCGATCCCGCAGATTCCGTTGGATGCTGGTGGTGGGTGCGGAACCTGAGCGACCCACTGAGAAGTTGACTAGGGTGACTGGATGAGGGTGCCCCGAAATACCCGCGGGCACGGCAGGGTCTGCCGGGTAGCGGCCGCAGGTTGGAGATGGGGGATGCCTCAAATGCTCGCACATCTACACCAACATACGCACCTTGGGGTCTTCATCGAAACCAAGAATGCCCTTGAGGTACGTCTCACTGGCTTCCTGCAGTTGGAGGTCGATTGGGGGTTCCGAGCCGTTGGGTTGGTTGGCAGAGGAAATGGCACATCGAGGCGCTACGGCTCACTGCTGGTGGGTGGTAGTATATCAATTGTCGT